CACGTTACGCTTACATTGAAGTCGACTGGGGCCAAAGTGCTCAACTCCGCAAAAGAAGGTCATGTACTTTTTCAACCTATAAGCATTTTGCTACAAGCGAGAGAACACTCAGATGTGAGCAGGGACCATCAAAAACAATGAAATTCTGTCTGTTGAGTGCTATAGCACTTAGGCATTCAAGCTACAAAATGCTCGGGTGTAAATGGGACCTTATTGCTTAGTTTACTGAGACTAACTGTTAGGTTTTCTGTGTGTAAAGGCATGCATTTGACAGGTAAAGGATGCCAGTATGGCATTCATGGTAATCTCAAGGAAGGGTCTGTAGAATGGTATATAGCAAGGTATAGTGGTTTTCCATTGCTGCTACAATGGCCAGTAATTTTTCTACTTGTCTCTCTTCTCAGTAGAATGCCATCTTCTCAACAGAAGGCTTAGGGTTATAGGTAGGCAACATAGTTAGGATTAGATTTAGGGGTAGCAAACTAATGCTTTATTTATAAGGTTTTAGCTTCAGATAAACTTTATTTTTAGGCCAGAGGATTGTGCATGCATACTGGTTTCAGGCAAGTTGAGTGGCGCTATAACAAAGGCAAGCTGATATTAGTACTCAGTGAGTTGGGTTGAAAATGTTTAATCAGATTCACCATTGTTGTTCTGCTGTTCTGTGATAAAACACTCAGCACCCTGTTTGCTGCCATTTTCTTTGTGTGATGGAGCCTGTGTGTCTGAAGATCTATTAATAGTTGATTATGGACTGCAACATGTCATTGAGCATATTTTGGCATATTTCTTATATGACTAATAACCAATTGTTTTATGCCTGTTATTAGTGCAAATCAAGCCTAAAGTAAACAGGTCAGGGGCTTAATCTTTTAAAAGTGAAATTCATGCCTAACAGAAGACATCACAAGGTGCCAACTATTACTTTTATTAGCTAGAAAAGATGTTCACCCTTATGATCCTGGTTTTCACTTATATACTTCCAGCTTGACTTTCTAATTTCAGCTGTCCAATCTGAGTGCCCTAATTGGCCATTTAGGTACTTTCATTGTACAGGTGGTGGTTAGCCAGGGCTTATTTTCAGGGGCCTTTCCATATGTTCTAATTTCTTTGTCTGTGACCCTGATGGTGGGAGAGGTGGGCGGAATACCCCGGGTTCTCTTCCCTTTCTTCTCCTCTTTGCTATCTTTCTGATGTCTATTTTTTTTACTTTTCTTCTTCTCTTTTTTCCCGCTGGTCTCATGTTCTATCCTTGTCTTTTGGTGTGTTTTTAGTTTGCTACTGTTGGTGTTACTCCAATGATGGATCTGATCAAAGTCCTTATGTGTGTTTGCGTAGGTCCATCATCCTGTTGGCTGTGTCTGATTTAGGATCCTTCCTAAGGCTGCACCTAGGGAAGTTTCATGGAGGTCACTATTGTTTTGTCCTTGATGTTGTATACTATCGTATGTGGCTCCAAAACCTGTATTTTATGGTTCTAGTGGGTTTTTTGTAACCTTCACGAAAAATTATTGTGACTACAGGGACCTTTAGAAATCCACAGTATTATATTTTCATATTATGGAATCAAATCACATTATATACAAAGGGTTGTTGCATCTACTACAGGCAAGTGTGTTTCATAGGCAGATTGCAGAAGTCTATATATTCCAAAATCTTATCATGAATATAATTTTTTCTGTCATTCAGTACGTGCAACACGAAGCAAATCGCATGAGTAAATAGCAGGTTTAGCATATTTATTTTAGAGTGTTCTTTCTGGATTTCAGTTTTAATACTAACAATCTGTTTAACTTTTTTCATGTATTTATTAAATGAAAATTTAAAACTATTTGACCTAAAGAGTATTATAGTATTAGCCGTATCTGAAATAATTTATATTAGGCCACAATTAGATGAAATCCCATAATTTCCCTAATAAGAACTAACTAACCTCTGATCAGAAGGAGATATCCTTAAAACATTTACACATGTTTCCTTTAGAACATAACATGAAGCATTATTTCTAAGATGAAGGTTAAAAAGCAGGTTTGGCCAAGCTGCAGGGTTCTGGAAATGGAAAATGATTTTATATTCTTTTCAGTGTAACATGTTTTTGACAATGTGGAAACAGAATGCATGTTGAGGAAAAGAGGGTTAGTGATTGGGTGCAAAAGGGCAAAGTGCTTTCTGGGTGTTGAAAACTAAGTACCTGCCTATGTGCTGATTAGATTAAATGCACTTATCGGGGCCAAATATATTGCTGCAAGTTAAGGCACCTTTCAAAGTGAATCAGTGTTTGCTTTTCACACCTTATAATAATACAAAAACTGTGTTGTTCTTAAAATATTTCCCATGTATATAATCCACATCTGTTCAGAGGCCTTGGTGAAAAGTCTCACTGGAAATTTCCCACTGTAAAATATCATACATTTATGCGTTAAAAGAAAAAGTTTAAAGGCCCCTTGTAAAAGGTAATTGCCACAGAACATTCAAACAGTTCTAGAGTACTGCCTGAATTAAAGCCCAAATCCAGCCAAAACCTTTTTCTTTTTGGTGCGGTCTGTGTACTGTTTGGAGAATTTACCCTGACCTGGCATGCCTTGGCTTGTGCAGGATCCAGGATAGATGTTTACAGCCTAGTGGAGTCCTGACAACTCTTCTGTAACATGCAAATGGATGGCTATTACTGTGTATGGCTGGGTGTCTGCACGGGAACATACAAAGAATGAATGCAGCCACCATTAGGCAATAAACACTTCCTGAGCAGTGAAAATAGGTCAGGTCCGCATTTGTGGTATGTAAATCTATTTACTAGACAAGAGGGTCTATATGCACATTAGGTTAAAACTAGTTACCCTTCAAAAAGCGTTTTACCACCAAACATTTACTGTGGTTCAGGGGTTACCATTACTTTTATACAGTGTTGGGGGCTGAGGTTTAGTTGCAATTGGAGTACTGTTAGTAAATTGTATATTTACATAAGGTTTGATCTTCCTTCTGGGTTTTCAGGTTGACCCTAAAGGCCAATCCAAAGACATGTGTCTTATATTGGTCCTACAAGAGTCTGCTTATGTTTGTGTATGTTTGTATAACTATATATTTAGCATGTGTTGATCTGAAACATTCCCTGGAATCAAAACATGGCTAACTCACAAAGCTGGCCTAGGTGAATAACAATACAAATGTGGTACTTTAGTAACACATCAATACAAGTGAAGAAAATCTTTAAAATTCTAGGCACAAAAATCCAGAAGGGTTCCCGAGCTCCCTTTTCCTCTTCTTTTGAATGGCATGAGCCAGTTGTATAAAAACATGAAAGTACAGTTACTGAAAAGCGGGCTGTTCAGGAACATATACATGTTTTGGCAGCTATACCCTTGAAATCTCAAAACATCTTGCCCTACTGTTACTATTCCAAATCCAAACAGTTCAATTTACAAGAGCAGACTATAAAATAAAAGTAGAGCCATACCCCATCTTCTAAGAAACCATCTTCTCTAACAGAATCATGAAGCAGGTCCTTCATCCTCGGGTTTAGCTTAGTCCCAAGTTCTTTGACACTGTTGTACACAGGTAAAGCACTGGGTGTTTTATATCAGCAGAGAGGAAAGATAAGATAAAGAGCAGATCTCACCCAAGAAGAAAAAACTATGGTTGGCCCTGTAATCTGTGAAAAGGAAACCAGTGACACACCTCTAACATTATGACATGAAAAAAAATTCTTATGAGCCAGAAATAATGCATGGCCTTTACCCTACAGTGCACAAACAATGAAAAGGTTTGTACCAACAAACCATAAATAGTAGTAGCACTGTATGTAAAGCAATGCTCCCTAATACAGGTGTAGACAGATCAGGCAACAACTTCTAAGAAGGTTATTTAAATCCAACTCAGGCTATATATTCTACTGCTGAGTGGCAACATTCCCAGTGCAGTCCTTTATTATGAATAAAATCCAATTATGCCAAGGGGTAGCAGTTAAACTACATAAGACGTTTGTGCTAAATAAATAAAAAATAGAGCAAATTTACCCTAAAGAGGCAAATACCCAAAATAACTAGTGAGTGACAACGAGTGTATAGATATTGCCATGAAAGAATAGAATATCTTTTCCACACAAGCATACACTGCATTTTGCCAAAGGGTGCTGAGAGACGGCCAAGTAGAGAATGACCAAACTGGTTGTAATCTCATCCTGGAGTATTCCACTCTAGCTAACAAACTATTAGTGGGCTTCCCTGCGATATATATAACGTGTCCCTAAAAATTTGAGGAAGTCACAACATAAATATATTAATATAATGTGATAGTGAAGCAAACAATGGCAAAGTCCTGCATACAGAACCAAATGTAAAGGGTCTGTTCATTTCACCATTGCAACCCAGCAACCAATGGGTATGGAAAGCTAAGCTAACAATTACAAGTAAGCACAATCCCCATCTTGCCTGGGGAACCAGACCCTAGTTCTATATCACATCAATTGAGAAACAAATCACTCATCATACTTTTCAGTATTATGCAGCATGATTTATTTATACTCCCAGTTCTCTCTGCTGGCAAAGGGAACAGGTCCTCATACTGGTATGTCTGCATTTCATGAAGTACTTACCAAGATTTTCAAAGTTTAATGTTACTCTTCAAGGTGACAGTTCAGCCCCAGAGAACTTTCCATTGTTAAATAGTAAGATTGTAAATGCAATACTACTGGTGAATTTGAGATTATTCAGTACTGGAAAAGCATTAATAAAGCAAAGCAAGTTAGCCTATAGCAATCAATTAGAAATTGTTATAGTAAATG